AATTAGTAGATCCAAATCTAAAGGCTCGTATCAAAAATTGTGTACTTTTATGCTGTTTCCTTGTTTGTTACAGGGGAACGATATGGACTCCTGAATATGCGATGGCAGTAAAGAAAACTTATTATGCATCTTCCGGGGGAAAAAACGAAATATTTAACACGTTTGAATAATGAATGCATAATTAACCAATAAATGACTAAGTATGTTGTTGTTTCAAACCAATATATGATTGTACCGTTAAAACATTAATCAGTGTTATTTGTATTCTACACTGTAACAAGTGACACATATCTCACGAAAAAGTATTGGTTTTCTCAAACTTTTATTTGGTAGATAATAAATTCAAACAATAACAATTTACAAAAGAGCCACCATAAAAAATATTCATTTGAACAACCATCTCAATTCCAGGGGATATCTGTCTTTCATATTTGGTAAGGCCGTGCAACGTTATGGTAAACAAATTTAGATCTAATTTTGCCAAAAAAAAAACAGTAAAATGTGACCAAAATGTATAACTATAATCTTTGTCAAACAGGAAAATGCAAAACCTGATTACTGAAATTTATAACATCATTTAAAAGAATTTTCTTATATTCAACTTTAGCATTCTTACATATTTCCCCGAATTCCAAGCAATATATTTGGTCCATAAAGAGCTATACAGAATTTAAACTCATCACACAACTAAATAAAACAGAATTATTAACCTTTTTCAAAAATTAAAAAAGAAACGCAATTAACGCAAAGTAGCTACACATACGATGTATAAAGTCGAAATAAACAGGTCAGTGGTCAGAGGAGGGACGACACCTAGGTGCTGTGTGCAAAGTTATTTCAGTTCACGTGGTACGATTTCAGCTTCCGTTTGGTAATTTCAAATATTGAAAAAGATTGATTTGTTTATGTTTTGATATCAGATGTACTCGCTGTTCGGTGTGAGCCAATGCTCCGTGTTGAAGGCCGTACCTTGACCTATAATGGTTTACTTTCATAAATTGTAACTTGGACGGAGAGTTGTCTCATTGGCACTCATACCACGTCTTCCTATATCTATCTGTTGCATCAAGGATTTGTATAGTAAGACAAGACTATACAAATCCTTGATTGCATTAACAAAACTATGGAAAGCTTTCGCATAGAAAGATTTAATGATGATCAAAAATGACTTTTACTTAAAATATTTAATGTTTTTTTTTACTTCTTTTTGGCAGAGACATTTATGTGTATATATGTCTCTTTTTTTGGTAAATTATTTCATTAAAGATTATGTCCCTTAATGGCGGGAATTTGTATTCGATCTCTGTTAAAATACAAGGCACAATTTTTTTTTTTTAATATTTCGTTAATTCGAATGTAAAAATCATTGACATTTATACCAGTTAAAGAATATTGTTCATACAACCTTGAACCTAAAAGGTCTCCTTAAGTCTCCACCCGTTTCTGCATAGTAAGTCGATAAAAAAACGATGATTTTCAAATAAAATGTCCAAATATATATTTGTCAAATCCGTGAATTAATACGTAAACATTAGGCACAAAATCATTGTTTTGTGTATTCTAATTTATAATATTAAAGACAAAATGAAAAATTTTCACCAGAAAAACCATGTAAAATGTGTTTTTTTTTTTTTTTATTTGTGTACCGGTCGGCTTGCGTTGTCTATTGTGTTTTTCTCGTATTTTTTGTACTGATAAATGAAGAAATTCCTATATTTATAATTTCGTATTGAATAAAATTTTGTCCCGAATAAAAACTGAAAATCAATTTAATGAATTCAATAAACGAGTATTCAATCAATCATGCCGTACGAAATAAATCCACGGGTATTACAGAGTTAATAAAGGGATAAATATGCATATTCCAAGCAAATTATGACAATTACCAAATTCGTTTATTATATATACATGTAGGAATATTGTATAATAATTACAACTGTATATTACTGCTTAAATCTCTTTCAACAAAATTCGAGTGTCCAGGTGATGTTCACATCATGACGTGCTTGTAACAAATGACACAAGTTATCACTGCGACCGATCGATAATATATTCAGACAAATCTGCGTGCCGTCCCTCCTCTAGTCAGTGGTGTTGGCGTCAATGTTAGCAAGAATAAAAACAAAAACCAAATAGCTGAGGTCAAAATACGAATTTCAGCAATAGAAAAGCCCTTGACCAAAATTTGATCTGAGTTGGCTGGTTCCGTTTGAAATAAACCAGAAATAAATACATATGAAGTTCATCCCTTTTTGCACAGCTTTAATAGAAACCCTTGTACAAAACAGAGCTTGTGTTAAGATGTCTGGTTGTTTTTCGGTTGTTTATTAAGCAAATGAATAATAACAGATATAAATTGATAGGAACAGAAATGTTTTTGATACAACATGTAAATTATTTTCCATAGATCATACAGATATTATAATAAGACAACACTTACAAAACAACATTAGATTGGTATGCCCTCGCCTGCTGCCAATTATAAGTGTCGTGAAAATTTTCAAATCTATCGGCGGTAATTTCATGAGCAGTCAGTCAACCAAAACGAACAACAAACGATCTATTACGAACTACATGTATGATATACATCTACTACACCAACAATCAGTATGACATCTACATGTATACTAAAAACATTCCGAACAATTGTTAGGTTCAATTAATTTTAAAATGAAGGGTATAACAGTATAATATGACTACCGTTCAAGATTAGTCGAGCGTCAGGAACTAGATTTATCACCTCGCTCCTCACAAAACACACGAAATTAGTGGAAGAGAGATAACTGCGAATTTTTCGATATTAGTAAAATTGGTTAATTTAAAAATTAGAAGATGTGGTATGATTGGCGATGATACAACTCTCTACCAGAGACAAAATGACATAGAAGTTAGTAACTATAGGTCAGCGTATGAACTTCAACAATGAGCAAAATCCATACCGCATATCAAGCTTTGAAAGGCTCCGAAATGACAAATGTAAATCAATTCAACGTGAAAACATGAAATTATGATACACTTTTTACAAATGGTTAGATCTTATGAGCTTTAAGCATAATATATCAATCGACAATTTTTTTATAAAGCTCGGGAGGTAAAATTATATATACAACACGAAGAAATATAAATCACCTTTGTCACCCGAAGTTTGTGCATTTTACCTGTTTTATAAAGTTGGACAGTAGTTCAATAAATCATTTATATAGATTTGTAAACGATATAAAGCCAAACAAAAGCATATGTTCAAACAACTTTTGTTTCAAAAAAAGGTTTAAAGGCCAAAAATTATTGCCTATTGAAATGATGTAAGCCGAATCATAACGCGTTATTTAACTGTACCTAGGCTTAAATTAAGGGATTAAAGAGGAAATTATTTAGTGAATTACATATTTTTTTTTATAAAGTTTTTATGATATTATATGTAGATAACACAGTCTAGGCCTATATGGTATATTTCAGTATTATTGCACATTGTGGAAATTACTATTACTGAAAGGTTTTGATTTTTTTTCTAACAGAAAAGTAAACCAAACGTCAATTTTACATTACAAGGTCGAGTTCCTAATATTGCAGATACAAAAAAGTCATATTCTTACCTTTGAGTTATTTTTTTAAGATAATGGTACATTTTTTACGACTAAGAAAACACTTGTAGAACAAGCGGAATTGTCAATCATGTTTTAATTTTATGTATTATAAACTTATTAGAAATGAGTCTTTAAATGGGTATTCAAGTAAAACAGTTTGACTCGATGCTAGAATCAAGTCTATGGCTTCCATGAATTATTTCGATTCCATTAGGATAAATACGGTCATTTAAAAAACTGAAGCGAGGGAGGGTATGCCGTGTGTGTGGCTGTTCTATTTTACCCCCTGTTAGATAAAGCTAAAAATGTCCAATTAATCTATAGCTTGCATGGATTATTTCTTAGATAACCGCTAAAATGTGTTTAATTCTTTTAATTCTCAACCCCAACATTTGCCATTCTTAATTTACATTTTTTTCTCGTAAGCTACCGTCAAACCAACAGTTGATATTTTGTAACTAAGGAGCCGCCATGTTGATTTGATGAAATCAGTAAATGTGCGAATAATGCAATAGAATAGAAAATAAAACAACACCTACCTCAAAACTCCGTTTTAATGCAACAGTATCCGAATTTGGAGGGTTCACGCAACGGAAAAAACTTCAACTTTGGCGTTTTCATTCGTATGACGTCATGTTTTGAAAACACTTCAATGCGCCAAAAGCGTTAATGGAATTTCGCGGAATTTTATTCTATTTTCTAAAAATTTTTACATTTTTCCGAGCTCTAATGCATTAATTCTTTTTGTTATGCATCAGAATAAGAATAAAGGTTATGTAGTTTTTTTCAATTACAATTTTTAACACAGCGAAATCGGCATAGCGTTTGCACATAGGGTACGATACATGTGGATTTACGTGGGGGTATATCATAAAAGCCATTATTATGTACATCTCTGAGTCTGCGCTAAGTATAGAAATCGAGAATTTTATCACGGTGTTGTTTACAAAGCTAAAGAAGCACGTCATATTAGAATTTACATTTACCTATAGAAACTGGTCGTTGGTACACTATCCCAAGGAAGGATAGAATATGTAACTTATGTAGAAGTGGTATTGGAGATAAATTGCATAATTTATTTAAATGCAAATATTGTATCATTAAGAAATAATTTAGTTTTGGATGTGCCACGTCTTCTAATGGGCTGAAAGTTTTTTTGTCTATCAGCTAATAGACATAATTTTGTCATGTGACCGTGACGTCATCAACGTTTTTTCATGATTTACTCCTTAAAAATGGAATTTAGAATTAAATTAGAAATATCTGCAAAAATGTGGTGCACACTTTTAAATTACACGCTACGCGAGGTATTATTCAGTGTGAATCAAGTTTTTGATGTTATTTCTTCATAGACAGAAAAAATATTACAGTCATTCCTTAAATAAATACATATATAGACACTACTACAGATCTTACCCGAACATTCTCAAGTTTGGAGGTTAATTGTATATCTGTAACATTGAACTCCACAAAAAGCTATCCTTGTTGATCATAAAACTTAATGTATTTAATGTATTCCTTTAATTTTTGTCATATAAATATTGTGTAACTATTTTCATTATTTTTCACACTGTTTGACGTTTAGAGCTACTAATATATGTATTGACTTCAATATGTTTATTTCTTCTTATGTCATGTGATTTATATATATCATATTTTACAGTTGACCTCTGTTACACATTTAAATGTGTCTGAGTGCTTACTAATACATCTTGCAATCTTAGTACAAGCAATACATCTTGCAATCTTAGTACAAGCATGGTTTATTGATAAAGTGTGATTGTGAATCTACAGTTCATTAATCATGTAAATTTATAAAAATCTAAAGTTGTAATTCCCTAAGGCAAAGTTAAAACGGTTTTGATTGTGTTGATTAGGCACGTTCTCAAAGTTTTATGAATTTGCTTTCCCAGACTAGTGGCCCCCGAGTGTATCTGATGAAAGTCAAAGCAGGAAAACTGTACGTGAAAATCATAATAAGAAAATATAGGCGCTCAAACTCTTGATCAAAGTTCTGTAAGAAATCTTTTAAAATTATAGGGTAAGCAAAATGTATAAATTAATTTATAAGATATGCAAGTATAAGTCAATCAGACAGCAACCCAACTTATAAAAAACCTTAGAGTCAACTAGAGGTCAACTACGAATATTTTTTGAAGTTTATAAAGTACTGCCTGAACAGCTCATACAAAGTACTGCCTGAACAGCTCAAATTGTAATAAATATACAGGAAATTAAGGGTAAACGTCAGTGAGACACACACAGCTTAGATCTGCGTTAATAGGCAGTTGTACGGGGTATATTCAATATGTCAAGCTCCAAACCGCTTCGAATCCAAAAATTTTAATAAATTAAGGAACCTCGAAATATGTACCAAATACTAATTTGGCTTACATTTCAAAGAGGTCGTATCATAATGAACATGCGTCCTAAGTTGATGTGACCACGACTTCCGATAGTAAACTGCCTTAATGATAAAATTTATATGTATAAAATAAGGAGATGTCTTATGATTGCCAATGAAACAACTATTCACCAGAGTACAAATGACGTAGTACCTTCATCAATGAGCAAAACCCATACCATATCGTCAGCAATAACAGGCCACAACATGTCAAAATGTGAAACAATTTAAACGAGAAAACTAACGGCCCGATTAATAACAAAACAATTAACGAAAAACAAATATGAAAGACATGAGCCAACGACTACCACTAAAGTACAGGGTCTTAACTTGGGAATAAGACGGGGTAAACATATTTGTGAGCGCTAACCCCTCCATAACCTATGTATATATTTGTTTTTAAAGTTTATCGCATTCTCATCAGATCACGTGACATTAGGTTTTATCGTTGCTATGTTTTTGAAGGTGTTCAGGGCAAAAATAAACAGACCCAAATCTACCCGTCTACCATTTCAGCTCCCTTTGGGACCTTATAAGTGAGAACATAAATATCAAAGGAAACAGACTGACATTCAAAATTATTTTTTGTTTGATCTTAAACAAATATAGTATATTGCTCTATTTCAATGTATTTTACCCCTGATTTTCAATTCTAGAATTTGCATAGTCTTTAAATTGAAAATTGCAATAAAATTGATTTTACTTTGTGATGACATCGTGAATTTCTTTTGATATGCTAGAAGGTGCTAATTTCAAGTACAATGTATCACATCTAGATTAATTTTCCAGAGTTAATCTCTAGAATCTTTTTCAAGTTTCAAGTAGGTTCAAATGATTCAAATATTGCAACATCCTCTTTTTTTCAATAATGTCAGTTAAAAATTATTAATGAATATATTACTTTAAAGCCTTACCGGAGATACTGTCTGTGATTTCTATTTTACTGATAAGATACAGAAGTACGGATAGCTGATACAGTGATAACAATAGAAAATCCATTTCAATATTCCTTACTGAACAATCCTTTTTAAGTTTATGTATGCACCTTGTACACCAAAATCGTATACATTTATCTAGTAATCCATATAATAATGATGTGATTTTATAGATAAAATGGTAATTTGCGCACCTGTTTTAGGTAATTGCTCCAGGAAATTAAGATAGTATCTCTAAAAGGGACAAATGTATACCTGATTAGCATTTAATGATGTATTGTATACAGGTTTTGATATTTACACATTTCAGGTTTCATTTGTAAGTCTGGATTTTTTCGGAGGATTGATTTATTGTTACTGTTTTCTTAATTCCAGTGGCAAATATTTCAAGTATGCTCTGGACAAGAACAAATTAACAAAAATACAAAGGTGGGTCTTTTAATAGTGGTCAACCGGGATAAAGGCCGGGAAATTTGGACTTCCACTTGAAAAGTGAGGGTATATAGGAAAAAGACAGCAATGTAACCTTGCAACAAGCCACTTACGGACCCCTCAATGAGTTGTTGCAAGGGCTCTTAACATGCAGAGCGTGGCATTTCCTCTACACGAGGCATCGAATTACACGTTCAAAATCTGACCGGATGTGGTTGCGTATTTAAATACCCCACACATCAAACGAAAGTTCCACTTCGGCAAGGGTTTTACTGCCGGTTGAAAGGAGACCAATGATGATCATATTTCTATACCGTAATCTCTCTAGTCGGGTGTTGATAATTGATGTGGTATGTTGTACAGTCCGATCTGTTATCCTTTTCATGTTTTATCGTGCCATTCCGGAGCATGATTATCTCCGTGATTTTCTGATGGATTATGATCCTGATTCCTGGAATAGCATCGTATATTTGATCATATTTGTTGAACTGCTCTCTTGGTCTACACAAATGAGGGTCTGGATGTGGGGTCTTTTAATTTTGTATTTTAATCCTTTTTTTCTCTATTTTTTTATAAATTTTGTCCATTATTTTCTTTTCTTTATATCCTAGTACCCCATTATTTTCTGTTATTCATTTTTTTTGTCCTAATCTTTATTTTTTGGGGCCATTTTTCTGTAGTATATATAGGCTTACCATTCTCTTTTTTCTGTAAACCTCAACCAGACCCTCATAAATATTCGTATATTTACGGTCATGTACTGTACTTGTTTCTTTTAACGAGAATGTAAGGGCATTCCTATTTTTAAACATTATATAACAGTGTAATTAATAACAAAATCATATTTCTGCATTTCAGTTTTATATAAAAAGATATGTACAGTTCCAATTCAAGAAAGGAAGAGCAACGAGAAAACAAGGAAAAATTGTTCGGACGTCAAAGGATAAGACCAATTAACACAGCCCAAAAGGAAAATAATATGTCCTGCAAAAAATTAATTACGTTCGCGCAAGTTATTTTAAAAGTTTGAACATACAAAATAAGGATTCATGCATCACAACCTCTACAAAACAATGTACTCTAAAACAAGTTATTCTTCTACATGAACCCTACAATCTTTTTAACAATGTGTAACCATGGTAACTGAACACTGCCCTATGTTCACTATGTTGATATCTGGTTATCTGAGTTCCTTTTTCTAGCTTAATTTCTATTTGACGGAGACGCCTCTGAAAATTACTGATATAGTTACAAATTTAATACTAGATTACTACTTACCAGCACTGCCTAATACACGATCATAAAGCAGAGCCAACCCGAGAAATGTAACTTGCAAAAGTATTGTTGGTATCATTTTCAAATCTTGCTTCAAACTGGTGAAATAAAAAGGCGAGTCTACTGATAACCCAAAAAGAGGAGGTCACGATGTTATAAAAAGGTACACAACTACTTATATTTCGTAGTCAGTCTGAGGTTCTTGATGGGGTTTGCAGAATAGAGAAAAATGGTTAAATATTACAGAAAAATGGGCCAACGAAAATAAAGAATGGAGAAAAGTAGCTTAAAAAAATAAAAGAATAGAGAATAAAAGGGTGCTAAAATACAAAAAAATAGAGAATAATGGGGCGATAAAATATAAAGAATAAAGAATAATGGGTAAAAAATAGAAAACAAAAATTATCTAAAAGATCAAAGAATACAAAAATGAAGGACCCCAACCAGACCCTCCTGTATGTTTTGTTTAAATTTGATGAAAGTCACAGTCATATATTGCATGGTATAAAATACATGTATATGTGCATTATCGAAATTTATAAAAGTAATATTTGTTCAAGATACCGGGAGACGATATATTTGAAAAGTGTACAGATGTATTGTATAATAAAGTGGCTGATTGCATGATAAAATATATTATCATTAACATGGAAATGGCCTACAGTTGAATATCTTGGGACATTGACTATTTCATAAATTTATTATCTCACATGTAGTTTATGAATTAAAATTTGAAATGAAAAAGAGAAATTAATTTTCGGAATAGATGCAATGCTGAGACAATGCACACATGAAAAGACCTCATACGAGAACAAAAATATATCTGAAGAACGAAAAGGGAACTAAAAACCGAAATATATGTTTTTGGTATTTATTAAGTCAATTAAGTCAATGAATTAATAGTAAGAATTACTTTTCCGCTTGTGTACTCTAAAAAAGTGCAGGATATTAAAGAAGAACATCTTCATTGAAGCTAAAATATCAACGATCTTCTTATATAAAAATAAGGAGATGTGGTATGATTAGACAACTATCCACCCAAGTTCAAATGAAGTGGATGTATGCAATTATAGGCAACCGTACGACCTTCATCAATGAGAAAAACCAATACCGTATAGTCGGCTTAAAAATGTCCCGACCTGAAAAATATGAAACAATTCAATTGAGCCTTCATTTATAAAGTAGTTACTCAAGTTTATTTGAAGGTTAAGTTGGATATCTATGTAGAATCTTTGATCGCCCCGTTAGATTTTAAGCTACGTTTTTCTTAGGCATTATACATCTCTAGATTTCCAAAGTTGTTGTCTCAGAAAAAAATTGTTTTCAACGCCACCTATTTATCTGCCTGTCCTAAGTCTGGGATATCTCAGTGATTGTACTTGTTGAAGTTTGAAGGTTCATTCTTTAAAGATGTGAATAAATTAGATGTTGATTTTACGCATACGAAACAGCAACCCAACACTAGTAACCAAAAGACTCATAGAGTTCTACATACAGACCTAGACAAGAGATAATATAATATGTTGC